ATCAGACATCATTATACTCAATTGTTTGTAATCACTAGGCAGTCTGCATAGCTCATGACATTTGCAGTAACATTTGAATATCTTTTTACACCTCTGTGCCTTGTATTTTCATTTCTCATTCAAAAATGGTCTTTCTTCCCTCGCTCAAACTCGGAATTCACTATTTGTCTATCTCTGACATTCACAGTGATCTTTAGGGACATTGCTGAAAAGATTTAAAAAATGAAAGTGGTTCTCAGCTCTCCCACTCTTCCTCTTCCTTCAGCTCTCAGGCTGTAGGCCCCAACTTCCAACAGTGCCATGTTTTGATCACCGTGAGACACTGTTGCATGTCTTCGCCATGTCCTGCTGATGTCATAAGTCACCTCACAGGCTTTGTTCTGAGTAAATAGGGGGACCCTGTGTCCACAACTGCAGTCATTGAATGACAAATGCCATTAGTGACTTAACTTGGAGCTCCAGAGCTGCTTGCTTTTTCTTTTGAGGAGGCATGATGGATTGCCTGCCTACCAAGATGAGGCAGTTGATGGGAAACTCCACACCATTAAGCTGATGGAGGTGGGCCTGCCTGAGGGTGATGAAAAGCCCATGGAAGTGGATGCAGAGGTGGAGGAAGAGCTGATGGAAGTAGATCAACCTCCATCAGGGCAGAACCATCACTGACCCATTGCTCTCAGGCAATGAAGGAGGAAACCCAGAACCCAACACTACCATTGGAGTAGCAATGTGGAGTCCTTTTCACCCCCCCCAAATGGGCACCTCAGTGTTGGCACTGAACCTTCTCTTCCATAAATTCTTTGTTAGCCAAGGGAACCTCAACTTCAGGACCACTCTGCAGGCTCACGTGGGACATTCATTTTCTGGGAATTCTTCTTTTGGCAGTCAAGGCTCCCATGAGCCCATCCTTGTTGTCCTTTCTCCCTCCCTCACTATAAGACCTCTCATCTCTTCTTCACCAAGAGGAAGAAGGGAGGGCAGGGAGTGGCATTCAGTGGGCTGCTGTGCCAGGGTGACTGGAGGATTCCAGCAGAGGGACCTGAGTTGCCTGGGGCTGCGAGGAGCTGTCAAAGTGACAAAGGTGGCTGTTCTCATAGAGAAGCAGAAGACTTTGGTTCTCATAGGAAAAAGGCTGGTGTTCAGCATGAGGGACTTCGTGTTCATTTGGACAATAAATGATTGGGAAAAAAAAAAAGAAAAACAGAATGAACAATACTAAAAAAAGCCTGAACCCACAAAAATAATCAAAATAATAAACGTTCCTCTGTTTTTTTGGAACTCTGTGGATTCCTGTGTTCCATCCTCATCTCCCCAGAACAGGAAAGACATTGCCATGTGGGTTGAGGGCCCATTCCAGGGCCTGGAGGAGCTGGGGAGGGGGCAGGGCACCTGGCATCCCAGGGCAGGCTGAAGGAGCTGCCTTTGGTCAGCATTAAGGACAGAAAGCAGAGGGGGGTCTGAGTGCTTCCTACAGCTGCTGCTGGGAGCAGGGGGGAAAATGAAGCCTGGCTTTTCTCACAAGTGCTCTGTGGTGGGAGGAGGAGAAGCACCAAGCCCACACTGTAGCATGGACAACTCTGGAACTGGTGCCCAGTGGGGTTGGAGAGCACCATCACCCCTAGGGAATCCAGACTTGTCTGAGCTTGGCTGAATAGAAGTCCTCTGCAATGAAGAAAGGCTGTGAGATTTTAGCCTGCAGAAAACTGTTGGGATACTTTATTGCGGCCTTCTGATATATCTAGGAGTTTACAAGACGGAGAAGGACTTTTACTAGTGCCCTGTAGTGATGGGACAAGGGTTTAAAGCAAAAAAGGGTAAATTTGCATAGATAAATGTAAAGTGGAAATCCATCCCTATGAGGGTGGTGAAGCAGTGGAACTGGCTGCCTAGGGGAGCTGTGGACGCCCAGTCTGTGGAAGTGCTCAAGATTGGGTTGGATGGGACTTTGGAGCAACCTCATCCAGTAAAAGGTGTCTCTGCCCATGGTGGGGCATAGATGTTTTTAGAAGGTCTCTTCCAACACAAAGCATTCAGTGACTCTAGGATTCTATGATTCTATTGGCATAGAGCCATGCTGAGACTGGCTTGTTTGGCCTCAGATTACCTAAACTGGTCTTTGCTCATTCTGACAATAAACTGGTGAAGTTTTTCTTGCATCCTTATTGTGTAGTCTATATAGCATTTTTGGAGAATACTTGTAAACCACTTGGAACATTTCTGACCTTGGATAGAGTTTATATTCTACATGTCTGAGGAGTTTTGGCACATGAAGTATCTTAGATATACAGGGTGGGATGTTCAGATTGCCGAATCTTAATGAAGTCCTTCGTCATCCATTAGTTGATGACAGGTGTTGATGCACTCACACACAGGGTCTTGACTTCTGTCTTTCAACACCTATGTGTTACTATGCTGTTCTGTATGCATACTGTTCAAAGCAAATTTTCAGGTGCTCTTTTCCAAGCCTATCAAATCATGCTGAAACCTCCTCTGCTGTGCTCACAATCTTCCTATCTTTGTCACGAAGTAAGTGTGAACTAATTCTTCAGTCTAGTTTTTGGTTCCTGTCTTCTCCAAGGGTATTTTCTATTGCTTGGGATATATAGTACACAGGAGTCACAGTTTAAACTGTGATCACACTCCATATAATCTCCTCAGAAGACTTCATTCTTTACAAGAAGCGCAAGGGTAAAAAGACTTTTGCCTTGCATGCGTAGGGCCTTGTATTGCACTAATATGAAGTGATTGGATGTGATAGACAGTAGTTCATCAAAACAAAATCTCATTAACGTCTGTTTGCACTTTGCTTTTACTCTCCTTTGTATAATATTATGGAGCTTTCTGTGACCAGACAGTAACCTGTGGTAACCTGTAGTGTGCGTACATTTGTGGGTCATGAATAAAACCATTGTTATCATCCTAAAATGTTGGCATCAATATTGTGCTAATAACATTAGGATATTTCTGCTTTATCAGCAGCAGTGACTGACAAATTATCAGTCGTTTTGTAATGGGAAGCTTAAAATAGCAGCTGAAGACATTTGAGTTAAGCTTCGTGGAAAAAGACACTGCTGCGTTTATTGTGATATCATTTTTTGTTGTGTTAGGTTGACATGATTGTTGATTTGGCTTTTTAGACATACAGTGCAATTAAGAATAATCATTTTTCCCACACATTCCACAAAGCCACTGAAGCCCAAATGCTAATAGCCAGGCCCTGAAATTTCAAGTGACTTCCGCTGCTCCCCAGGCAGCCCACGGTGCAGACGCATGTCTCATGGTGGCATGCAGCTATTGTGTGATCACAGCCTTCTGGCATAGATGTGAGTCTCAAAAGAAGCTGCTGATAAATAGTAAGCTGTTTCAGATTTGCCCATGTCACCAGTAAGAGTAGATTTTGGAGTGTGAAAAAATGGGATCTGTAGGTAAGCGCATGTGGGTTTTGCAGTCTGTAACAGACATTCAGACTGGAAGTATAAAGAACGTGTAAAAGAATTTGTGTTTAGTGGAAGTGGTAGGTGGTCGTACCAATAAAAGCTATATTGTGTTACATATGCACACAGATGTGTGTGTTTACACCATAATTGGTGTGAAATGTATGCAGTCGCTTTTAGACTTCAGAGCATCAGCGAAAGCAGATCAGATTGGGATACGGGGGGTCAGGAAATAGATCTTTTATACATAAAAGAGAAGGTAGTAAGGCTGTAGTGGCAGCTTTGGTTCATAACTATTGCTACTAAAAAGCATGCATTCTAAAAAAATCAAATGAATGTTTCTTACATATTGTTAGAGCAGGCTGTGTCATGACTGTTAGACAGAAATCTGCATGTATATTAGCTAAAAAATGTTTATGCAATTATGTACAACTTTCTTTCTTGTATTCTTTTCCCCAACTTTTTCTCTGCTCACTGCTTTTCTAAGTGTGAGTATACAGTACCTATGTATTATGCATGCTTCTAGACTTTTACTGTCCTGTGGTCAAGTCAGTGACTTTTTTTGTGCATGCTTGGCTCTCAACGCTTGCTGAATCTCATCTTCATTTGCTATGAATCTTAGATCCAAGTGCTTAATTAAATCTCTGAAAAATACATTCATAAACATAATCAGTGACTGATATTATTTTTCAGGAAATGAAATGTAGAGGAAGTAAACAAATGCTAACCTAAATACCATGTGCAGTTTCTTTCATTTCAGTGGACATAATTTGCCACACAGAATTTGAAAACTTTGACTGAGTCAAGTGGTTAGAGACTACTGGCATAGATGCAGTTGTCTCTGTTCAAAAGCTTGCAAATTGGACTGACATATTCCTGTTTGTGAATAGAATAAGCCACACTGATGGGAGATGCTTATTATTTTTTCTACACTAGAGCACTTACCTATGTGGTTTTTTTTAGCCAAAATGTATAGTAAGAGTTCCAGCTTTGGATCAAGCAGTGTTAGCTGATGAGAAAATTGATCTGAGCGAATGGAAGATGTGTTTTTCTCTCTGTGAGACATTAATGTGAGTCACCATTAGTGCATGAGCTGTGCTGTCCTCTTCCACTGAAGAGCAAAAGAGGTTTTCCTAACTGCTTTTGATAACTGCAGCAGGAAGAAAGGAGAGGAGTGGAAGAAAGGAGAATCCATTTGCATTATCCATTGTTGGAAGATGCGCAATGGGAAAATGCTCAGCTAATGCCAGTTACAGATTTTCTTGGTCCCAGTGAAAATCTTCAGTGGAGGTGATTTAAACATAAAGCATAAAGATGCAGTAATGAAGTTATTGTTAAATATATATATATATGTATATATGTGCATAAATCCTCGGTGCTAGAGTAGAATTTCTGTTTTCCCCAGGAGCTCAATCTTGGAAACACTGACAGCAAGCCACTTTTGTAGAAGTAGAGTCTGGATGGAAATGTTAATTTAAGGAAGGCATTTGAACATTATTTACAAACTATCACCTAAAAGTTATGTTTCATATTTTTGTCACAGCTTATCGACTACCTTTGTTCTTCTAGGCTTTTAAGACCGAGGATGGTTACATCGTGTTGGCAGCTGGAAATGATCAGCAATTTGTCACTGTGTGCCAGGTAATGATATGTGAGGTTGCCAGTACAAAAATGTGTAATAACTTCAATGCTATATAGGGAAGTAATTATTGACTGCTTCTTCATTCCCCTCGTCTTTAGAAAATAAATGAATTCAAACTCTCTGCTTCTAGCTGGTTGTTTATGGGACTGATGAAGTCCTGTGCTTTGCTTGTGTATTCAGAACACCTCAATTCCAAACTTAGTGGGTGCCAAGCCCCTTTTGAAGTCTGTGCCACTGCACTGCTAGTTTGCTAAAACATGAACCAGCCAATAACCTTCCAGTTATGGCATGGTGAATGTCATGGAGATCGCACTGGTGCCTTTTTTAGGAGAAAATGTGACACTGTTTTCCATAATACAGTGGTAGACACAGTTACTAACACAGCCAGGTTAGGGGTCAAATATTCGTGTGCCACCTTAATAAGTAGCCAACCCTGTTGTCCTTTTGTGCACTGCTATGTACAGGTCTGTGCTCACAGAGAATCTGGTGGACTTCTTGGAAAGAAACATTACAGACTGTGGGCTGACTTGGCATTGGTACACATATGATGTTGAAGAAGAAAGCTTCAACAGAACTGCCACTTTTAAAGATCTGGTATCCTACTTCTTTCGCATCAAATAAACATGATTGTCTGGCAATTCTTGAAAACTTTTAAATTAGTTCTGGATTTTTCATATATTCTTTTCCTGTGGCTTTAATGCCTGGAATTGTTTTTCCCTGAGCTGTGAATACATTTTAGAAGAGAAGGAATGACTGTAGGGAACAAAATTGTTCGTAAAAAAAGAATAGTAATGTTCCAAACAAAAGACCCCACTGACATGTAGGCTAGTAGAAGAGAAGAATTGCATGTAGTATTAGACAGCATTTTTTAAAATGAGAGTTCTGCCTTTTTCCTGTCATTGTGTAGTTTCTCTTGGAACCTGGATGTTTAGCTTAAACTAATTGCGTTGAATGAGCTGTCAGCCTCAGGAAATTGAGCATTATTTTCTTCCATTTGTCCACTTCAGCCATTTCATATTTCTGTGGATGTTAATGACTAATAACTGGAACACGTAGTAAGAAGCTAGTGAAGTTGTGATGTTCTGGAGCTATCTTCTCTCGTGGTGTGTTTTGGGCAACATGTGCATGCACAGCTATCTGGAGGGACCTGCTTTCTTTTGCTTGGATTACCTTTCTCAATAAGTATCAAAGTAACCTCTTCAAAGTTTGCTCAAAGGGTTTTCTTCATATGCGTGGCAAACCACTAAAGCATGGCCACTGTATTAACATGAATAAAGACTAATGACTGAATAAGCATCTAAATGCCACAACTCTGTTTTATCAAGGACTGATTGTCCCTTAAAATAAGTATGTCCAGAAAGCTCTAGAACATTACTTTGAATGTCTTCTCAAGTGCTTTATCACCTGAACAATTACACACCCAGTGTTAGTTAACATGCCATCCTGTACAGCTGAAAGTCTGTCTTGGTCATTTCCAACACTATGGGGTGAGTTAGGATGCTTCAGGAATTCAGGCCATGCTTTCATGTCACTTTAGGTTGCAGCTGAGAGAGTTATGGTGGGGCTGGCTGCTATGTACTCATTCCTTAAGGAGGTGTACTGGTGCACCAGTAGATGAGGCTATGATTTGTATTACTGCAGAATCTGAAGAGCCTGAAGTTAAGTGGGCTCTATTCAGCAGGCTGCTGATTCTAGTATTTCTAGAATTGAAGGGAGGAAATATAGCACATGGAAAAATTACAGTTATTTGCATTTCAAAGAGAATAAGCTATTGGAAAATTTATTTCAGGTTGTAGGTAGTGGTCAGTTTTGTCTATAAACCAGCTATCTTATCTGAGTTTAAAAAGAACATTCGGTTTTTTTTGCCCTTATTGAGTTCTTGTATATATGGATTTTAGACTGTTAAATTGCACAGAAATTGAAGAATGTGGAGGTCAGTGGAATGCTGTGAAAACTGTTAGAGGTATGTTCTGTGTTAAGGCAAAGGTGATTTGGAGCTTAAAACACAGTGGAGGGAGAGCCAATAAAGGAAGAAGACTTTATAACAGGAAGGCCCTCAACACCCTAATGAACCTTTAGTAAATACAGAGGCAACTAATTCAAACATTGGGATTGCTTTTAGAAAACTTTTTTGGGATGAGTTGGTGCTGAAAATACAGAATTTATGGGAGCCGTTGCCCTGAAGGCACATACTCAAGAGATATAACAGCTGTCTCAAGCTGTAAACAATTGCAAACATTCTGCTTCAACCGTATCTTTTCTGACAGGCAGTTAGCAAGTAAGGAAAAAAAACCCCAAAAACTGGAATAATTTCAGAATCAGTGCAAACTAACTGTAGGTTGTTTGGGGACTTGGGGATGATTGCTGAAAAACTTTGTAATGCTGCTGGTTGAAGCGCATTTCAAAGCAATCAACTGTTACTAAAGCACATCCTGGCATGTGGCTGCTTCAATCTAAATAGGAAAACTGAGCAAGAGTCTTCAGAAGACTGTGCTTTTGTGTACAGCAAAGAAGAGTGCAGTTTTGGGGGGAAAAATGCAGGGTGTAAACTCTGAATGTGCATCCTAAATAAATCTTCACTGCAGAGGCCAACTATTCTGCAAGTGAGGTTGCAGGAGAAATGAAGAACAGTTTTCATTGTAAGTGGTCAGAGTGAAATGAGGACGATAACTTTGGTGGCACAGTACAAATGAATGGCACATTAACAAATAGCTTAGCAGTATGCATTTGTTGGACACCAAATTGAGAACATAACAGTCACACTGCTTTATAAGAGATGGATATTAAGTTGTCACTGAAGTCAGTAACATTAATTAAAACAAGATAATGAGCAACTCAATGTGTTAGTTTTTCATGTAGCATCAAATGAAGCTATAATTTTCTGACAGATTTCTCAGTTGCTTGTGGTCTTACAAGTAAGTATTCACTGACATTTTCTGAATTTTTTTACATTGTTTTTCTACAGCAGTTATTTTCAATACCAAAATAATTGTATCAACAAGAGGGAATAATTTAAAGGGGGAGCCAATAATATTGTTAAAGAAGAAGAAAAAAAGTTTCTAAAAAAATTTCTAGAAGAGGAAAAAGTTTTTTAAAGCTAGATTGTGGTATGCCATGGTTTTCATAAGCTGAATGAAAATAAATAGAAAAGACAATATAAGCAAATTAAATGTTGATGGAAAATTGATGCTTTATGTTATTTTGCACATAAAAATGTGCGTATAGATATGCAGTATGGTCCTGGTTCTAACATAGCTTTGTTGATACCTCTGTTTCCAGTCTCAGTTTTGTCACTCTGGGTGACAAAATGGCTGAGGGTGGCTATCTGTATTGAATGTCTCTGAATATCTTTTGAAAGATATTGACCTCATCATCAGCTATTCACTTGATACTGAAGCCATATCCATATTCTTTGCAGTGAAGTGAGGAGTCATTAAATGGTAGTGACCTTGGTCTGAACCCATCTTGAAGGAATTACTATAAATATGAGTGAAGTTCAGGGGAGGCTGACAACAATCTGTGTATCACTAGCATGTGGCTGTGCACAGATGTATGAATTCAAGGAGTGCCTAGGCAAGTTAATAAAAGCAAAATCCATTGAGGACCACTAAATACATGACAGTCTCTTCCTTTATAAGCTTCTTTTCTACCTTCCTCTGTAGCTGATGTTACTACGTTATGTTTTATTCAATTGTAGAAGTGAAATTATGTTCTATATGAATACATTATTGCATGAGTAAATAAATTACATACTAGGTATTGGTAGTCCATACATCTAATCTGTCTCATAAATGCCCTTACACAGAATCACAGAATTGCAGGGGTTCGAAGGAACCTCTGGAGATCGTTGTGTCCAACCCTCCTGCTAAAGCAGTTTCCTTAGAGCAGGTGGCAGAGGAAAGTGTCCAGGCAGGTTTTGATTATCTCCAGAGAAGGAGATTCCACAACCTCTCTGAGCAACTTGTTCCAGTGCTCTGTCACTCTCAAAAAGAAAAATTCAAACACTTATTCTTGACATTTAATTCCATTTATAACGCAATTCACATTGCCTTTTCTTGACAGTTAAATTTTTGGTGTACCAGGTAAGAGTTAAAAATAGAAGATGTGTTTTTCCTTTCTTGGAGTTTATACCACCAATTTTCTTTGTCAATTCTTTCTGAAAAAATTATAAAGACAAACTGTGACATTTTTTCTTTTTGACAGAACTTAGTGAAATGAAAAAAAACCATTCTTAAACATAGCTTTTCTTGGTCTAGCATAGGAAGCACAGTCCTATTTATTTTTCTGTGAGTTGTAACTCATTGTAGGATAATCCTACAGATCTCCCCAGCAGAACAGTAATAACTTAAAAATGTTTCCATGTTCTGCAGTATGATCACAAGAGTCTCTCCAAGGCAATAGTGACTAAGATTTGTTCAGTTCTTTGCTTTTTCTGTACTTGTTGTGTAACACTGAACAGGAGTCATTGTTTTTTCTTAATTTCCTAACCTAGATGAAATAGTAATGAGAAGTAGTGCTTTTTGGAAAGATATCTTAGTTCTTAAAGAATGTGCTCAGCTTTATAAATGTCTCCTACCAACCATATTTCTTTCTCTCTTCTATTTTCTCTTAGATCCTGAATCTGCCTGAAGTTATTAAGGATTCCAGATACAAAACTAATGAGCTGAGAGTCCAGAACAGAAAAGAACTTATTGACATATTGTCAACTCGGTGAGTTCATTGGAAGAGAAAAAATGATATTTACTCTGTTAACACAAACAGCCAAGTATAAGGAGCCCTCATCATATGAAATTTTTACTCTAATCTTTGGAAATACTTTTACTTTTGGGAAGTATTGAGAACACTTTTCAGATGTTAAGTGTACTGTCTTTTGCACACCAACTATCACCTGGGCTGCTAAGAGGCCAAGCCATAGTTCTGAGTTTCTAGAAATCATTTAACTTATTTTTAACCATGAGTTCAGTAACTTAAATTTCAGTGAAACAATCAGTGTGTTTTGCCTTTATGCCAGTGTCACTGCTGGGAATGAAATGCTTGAAGCATATGTTGCTTTGGCTGTCACTGGGGTTTTAAAGTTTTCACAGTGAGTTGCTGTATCCAAGGGATTTTCACTTGATGCTACTCTCTGTAATGGTTATGTATTGTGGTTCTCTGAGCCTCAAATTCTCCCTGGGCAAATCCTTTTGAAATAAAAAAGACATGTACTTGCTGTTCTCCGTGAGAATCATCCTAATAATCGCTTTAGTTAAAGATGGTATGGAATAAAACTCAGGAATCTTTTAATTGAGACTTTAAATAGTGTAGCTATCGTCCTCATACTGGCTGAGAAGACCTTTGTTCCAGGTGACTTTGCATTTTCAAATGACTGTGGTACAACTGAGCTGATTGTGGCAACTGAAATGACTGTGGTAACAAAATGATTGTGGTAACAAATGAACTTTTAGAACTCCTCCTTTATGTGCCTTCCAAATGCACTGTGGTAGCACAGCGTAACCCAATCTTCATTTTTAAGCACTTTGAAGGGCATAGATATCTTTTGAAGTACTTTTTACCCCTTGCATTATTTGCACTTAATTCCAGTTTCAAAGCTGATTCATGCAAACTCATTAGTTGAAGTTCGTTTTGTTTAATACTCTGGTATGTCCGACTCAGGGATGTTTTGCCATCCACAGATAAATGTGGTTAATTCTGAATGCTGTTATTTGTTTGTTTATTTTAAAATAGACAACACCTTCATAAGAAACTAAAGCTCAAGGCATATTTGTTCTTTGGCTGAATTGCCAGATTTCTCTCTCTTTTTTTTTTTTTCTCATGAGCTATTAGTTCATCAGATTACCTCATTGCTGTGTCATTTACTGCAGTGTATCTTCTTTTTGGTCGGAGTTTATCTTGTTCTATTAGCAACACCTAGGCTGAATTTCTGTGTAATTCATGTGCAAGTAAAGCTGTGAATGTGTACACGCTTTTGGAAGTAGGTGCTTCCGATACTATTGCATTATGTCACGATACTGTGAATTCATCTGGGTTTCATTTTTGAAACACTGACTTTAGCAAACATCTTTGACATTCACTGAGGTTGAATGTGTTTCCGTCCACGTTTCTTGGTAACTTTGCTTTTATTCACTTACGCACAGTTGTTTGTAAAATTATATGTAGTTCATTTTGAATTTTACTTGGAGTATTAAATGAATAGTTTGTCAGTGCTGAAAAATGTCAGCCCTTGAGAGATAAAGGGAAATGACAAAACAGTAATGGCATAATTTCACTGAAAAGTATCTTAATTAAGTCATCGATTGCTTGATTGTATTGTGGCTTCCAAAACATTGAGAATATAAACCTAAGGTGCCTTAGTTAGAAAGAAACACCTGCAGGCCCTCCCTCACTATATCTAAATTACTCTCCAACTTATGTTGAATTTATGGCAACCATACCTGGAACAGCTTAAAAGAGTTGTGATTGTCATAACAGCGTATTCTACTACAATCACTTCAGTGGAAATGAACCCTTGTGTGATGGAAGCTGAAAAGGAACAGGAAAGTCTTTTGAGGATTTAGGTCATTTATCCACGTCTCATTTTGATGCTGTGTCAGGCAGGTTGCCTCCAACCTGAGGCAAAGCAGCTTTTTTCAATGATATTGCAATGGAAAAAATGAGCCACTTTGTTTGATCTGTCAGGCTGAGCACTAAAAAGCATGTAAAAATTTGCATGTATGTATGAGAATCTGGTGATTTGCATGGCAGATACCTGGTTGCTTGGCTATCTTGTTGCTGTTGCAGTGTGCATATGCTTACTTACTTTCTAAGCTGTTGAGCTGAGATCCCACCAGAGCCTAGACTAGGCTTCTACTGACTGTAATAACCTGTCTCCAGAGTTATGAGTTGCGTATTTATCTCCTTTTTTTATTCATTCTCTAAATAGTCTAACTGCAATTCATGTCTACCTCCCGAGTGCTTAGTAAGTAAGCAGGAACAAGGATTCTTAACATCCTTCTCTTACAGAAAAGGACTTCCAGGCTTTATTTAGGAGATGTTCAGACCCGCTCAAAAGGTCAGGAAGTCCCAGAAGTCCTGAGTGTTTAATTCACTGCATGTGTAGAGTTGAAATTTTTAAAAACATCTGAAGTCTGAATACCAAGGAGACAGTTGATGCCTTTCTTTTTTGAGGGTAAATGTGAAGCAATTGAGATTTTTTAGCCACAGTCTGATTCTGGAAGTGTGTACAAAGGAAACATTGGTACAATTGGTCAACGTTAAGGAATGCTGTTTTTTAAAAGAAAGCTGTATCTTGGGAATTCTTGACTCGACCTATAATTTAGGTTCTACTCACCACCTGCAGTAACCATGCCAGATTTTAAGGCAGTTAGATAAGCATGGGGATTATATAGCACTTAGAAAAAAATGGCCTTTAAACAGCAGACTTTTCAGAAAGGTTTGGAATGACCTATTCATCACGGTCAGATGTCCTGAGCTGAGTGAGAATTCGAGGTGGGGATGAATATTGTTTAAGACATAAATGTAGCCTGAAACAACACTCTGAGAGGTGTGAATTGCTCCATTCATTTCAGAAGGAATTTTCTCATCCCTTCTGTCCCCCGAGAGATCTGAAGAGGGAGGCACATATGTCCTCAGCTCTTCACCCCAGTCTCTTGCATGATGCCTGCTACCAGAATCTCAGCTCCCTCCACAGAGGACGCATGAAAGATAAGAAGGGGAGAGCAGGTTGGGGAGATAAATTTGTACGGCCATAAAGGCAGTCAGACCTCAATAAAAGGGATCAGCAAGTTGACCTCTCTGGAATGATAAGCGTATTCTGAAAGACCTGGCTCTCACACTGAGTAAGAAGAGGGAATTACAGAAACCAGCCCTAGAAATCTTGAGAGGGGCAGTGTTTTCATTTCCCATCTTATGTGGGGAAGTGAGTACAGTGCTGCAAAAACCAATGGGTTGTAGGATATTGACAAGGAAGTACCCCACGGGGCATTTTGTACTTGCTTTGCTACTGTTATTTCTGCTGTTATTCCTTTCCGATCTATGCTCCCCTTTCCTGCTGGGCTCTTTTTTTCCTGTCCTTATCTTCTTTCTCCGCTTCCTACTGCTCCCCTCGTTTAGTTCTTTCTCCATCCACTGCCCTTGTGTGATTTGCACAACCACATTTGCTTTAAAATATAATTAAAAAAAAAAAAAAAAAAGTGTTTCAGTGCCTTGTGCATCTTCCTCTTTATTTAGATGATGTTTTCCCTAAATGGCAACAAAGTAGAAGTCTGTCATAATCAAATCGCCTCTGAATGCGTCTCTTTCTTGGATATGCACCAAGAGTCAAATTTAAATGACCCTACCTGGGTGGAGGTTAGATTCAATGGCTACTGCAGAGTCCCCTGGGACTCCCTGCTCATGTGAGAACTGACAGACTACAGAGTGTTTCGGTTTTTATGTTTCCAGTGGAAACCTCTGGTTTGTGACTTAGATGCACACCCATCCATGAGAACCAAATTTTAATTACAGCTTCCATCCCCCCACCACTTTTCCTCTGCTTTCACCTTTGTTTCCTCTGGAAATGAACAGTACCAGACAAAACATGGCTTATTTTGTGTATATAAATAGAAACATAGATACACATGCTGTGACATACATATGCAGTGTACGTATGTGATTTGAGACACAGCTGTGCAAAAGATGGTGTAATGCCAGTTTTAAGAAGCTGTGTTAGTGAAGGGAGCTCAATCTGTTGACCTCCTTCAAATTACTCTGGAATTTGAACATTAATCCTACTCTGCACCACAGTAATGTGGACACATTTTAAGACAGTGCAGCTAAACGTGTAGCACAGAGTAGTTGGGAAATTAACCTCTAAGTGGAACCGAGTGCGTGAGGTTGTAGGAGTGAATAGCGGGCATTCCTCAGCCTTTAAAGCAAAGCAGCTAGTGTAATAAGGAACACATAAATTCATCGTGATTAGTGCTCCTGCAGCTAAAGCTAAATGAATCCACACTGTTTCAAGAGCTAAGTTATTGTAGACTTGAAATCAGAAGTGTTAGGGCTGGAAACGACTCACAGTGGAACTTCCATTCCTAGCACTTGCATTTTAAAGCCCTTATTCTTAACTGCACCACAGCTGCACGTTGTGTATATAAGCGTGAGGGGGAAAGGAATTAGTAAGAAGGAAGCACAGTGGAATCTGATCTCCCAGTTAATGAGATCTTTGCTAAATTGTTTCCACCTAATAGCAGAAGAGGAGGGTGCTTGAAAGCGTGTTTGTAAGATGTGTAATTTGCCTGACAAGGAGCACGTTTTGTGAGACATACCCAATGTCTGTAAACCACCTTCCTTATCAGCAGCCCCTCTTCTTCTAAACCTAAAGCCCTGTGGGCTGAAGTCACTGTTGGTAACTTTACAGAATGGATATCTCTTCAGAAAGGTAGCTGCCTGAAATCGGAAAGATGCCTGAGCTCAGTGAGAGCAGCTGGTGAGGTTTGCTTTCCCTCGTCATCTGCTTTACCTTTGGTGCATAGATGCCTTAGCTATATGGAAAGCAGCTTTGAAGCTGCCATGATTTGTCTTAAAATTATTTGTTTTAAATTGTCATTAGGTTCACATTAACTTTTATGAATTGGACTGTAAGAGAGATCCTAAATGTCTCAAACTTTTCAACTGAGAACTGGATAAGCTAATGAATATTTTCTTTATCCTTTTTTTTCTCACTATTTATTAAG